AAGCAGTAATAGCAACAGGATGTGTATAAGAAAAAAAATGGAATGAAAAAGAAAGAGAAACAGAGAGAGAGAGAGAGAGAGAGTTCCCATTCGAGGAGACAGACGTATTCAGAGCAGAAAATAAAATCTCCGGGGTAGTCCGTTCACGGTATATTCAAGAACGTTTCTTTCCTATTCTCTCTTTCTCTTTCTCTCTCTCTCTCTCATTCTGTACCTTTACTGTCCTCTATTCCCTCTCTCTTTCATCTCATAACTTTTCTCAACCGAAAACGACGACTTTCTATCTCCAAAGCCAAACTCTTCTTCTTCCTCTATCGTTTGCCATTGAACATCGTATCTTCTCTTTCTCTCTCTCTCTCTCTCTCTCTCTCTCTCTCTCTCTCTAACTCTCACTCTAACACATACATATGATTCAACTGACCCACGTAGCACTTAGTTCTCTAAACCAACCGGCAAACTTCGTGAGATGCATTTGAAATGCGACACGTGCGCTACGGCAAAATTTTCTACGACCAGACGTGCAATAGTAAGAGCTTCTCTTTGACTTTACAATTTTGAAAAGTCTTTGCCGATAAGGAAAAAATAATAAAAGAAGAAAATAATACTACGGTAGTAAATGATTTTTATATTATATATATATATATAAAATATATTTCAATAAGATGGAATAAAAGAAATAAAAAAAATAATAGCAAGAAGTGCAATAATACGAAAATGTCTCTTTGTCTTTACAATTTTCAACGAAAAATAGAATAAAGTAATTGGATATAAAAAGTATTTCGAAAAATATAAAATATATATATAAAGGATAGAGAGAGAGAGAGAAGTAGAGAAGTAGAGAAGTAGAGAAATGAGAAGGAAGTTCATCGAGGCGCAAAAATTCTTCGTCAGCGTGTGTCAAAAACTTTATTCAGGAACGTTCCTACTCGACGAAGTGTGTATCGAAACAACACCGAGAAAAGTTTTTAGATGAAAAGCTACCCTGTTAAATTAGTTTGATAACAATATAACTCTCTTCTCTCTCACTCTCTTTTTCTTCGTGCTGGTTAAATGCGATATAAAGAAACCAAAAAAAAAAAATAAATAAAAAAACAACAATAAGAATAATATTCTTCGTATCTTTGTATCAATCTTATTAACTGTCTTAACATTAATTGCCTTTTTGTATGATTCAACGATTTGCCACAATAAAAAAAAAAAGAACATTATGCAAGAAATTAATTGGACACTGTAAATAGCATTTAAAAAAATATTAATTTATTTAATAATATAATTTTCAAAAATAATTACTAAATTATTTTTAATATATTAACAACAAATAATTTTGACACTGTTAATAGCATTAAACAAAAATATGAATACATTTATATAATAATGTAATTATTTAAAATAATTACTAAATTATTATATTATTAAATAATATTTTCTATAAATAATTACTAAACTAAATTAAAAATAATAATTATAATGCAAACATAAATATTCTTACTTTTTCGACAATAGAAAAATTCTAATAATTTCAAATGGTAAATTGTCAATTAAGAAAAATGCATAATCAAGAATCAAAAGAATAATTATTGTATTTATTTTATAATAAATAGAGAATTTCTGTAGAAAAAAAAAAAACAAAAACAAAAAAAAACATAGTAATTTTGGAAATATAGAAAGAAATATAGGGAATTATATTTAACTGGTATTATCATTCTAAAACATGGAACTATAAACGGGCCATAAAATTCGTGCAAGTTAGATAGCGCAAAGGACTTTTGTTTTGTTCTTAGAAACAGCACACATATATCTATATATACCTATACGAAAAGGAATGAGAGAGAGAGAGAGAGATAGAAGGATGTACATGTCGCGATACGATGTGGTGTCGCGGTTGCAGTGGGAATGCATCTTGTCTCTATATATCCGTGCCCCGATTGCAGTCGTGGTTCTATTCGATGTCGAGGAACCGTACCTTATAGTCGTAGAGTAATCGAGTAAGGTGATTCCCGTTGGTGGTAGTTAGCTCAAACGAAGAGAAACTGAGATAGACTAAGAAAGAGATAGAAAGACACACGAATTTTCAGCTGTCACTAACATGAATCAACCAGAATGAACGAGCATTTATATACATGCACACTAATACATACACAGGTTATACATAGATATCGTACATACGTGTATAGTTTCTAAACTAGATTGTCATGGGATACATTAAAATTGAGAACGATTGTAAATGAAATATTAACTATCAAAGATACGATCAAAATCTTATTAGTAATAGTTGATAATAAATGTAAAACATTCCATGATTTACATTAACCCATTGACTGTCAACTACGAGATATCTCGTATAGTGTGTGCTACAATTTTAGATTAATTACAAATGGTTATTTGCGTTAAGAGTTATTAAAAAGGTTGAATAAAAAATTTATATGGTATGAAAAAACATGAACATGTTCGCGGCCGGCCATATTTTTTTCCTTTTTTAAATACTGAGTACTGGCAAAAATAATGAATTATTTACATTTATATTTAAATAATAAAATATAATAATATAATAAAATATAATTATTGAAATATTATAATATATTGAAATAATTAAATATAAATTTGTTATATATTAAATGATATTAGGATATATTTAAATATTTATATAAATATTTAAATAATAAATATTATATATTTAAATTAATATTATATATTTATATTATAAAATTTATATAGATATAATATTTAATATGTTATATTATATATAATAATAATAAATTATATTTATATTAATATATAAATATTTAATGAGATGATATTGGTAAATACCATTACAATATTATATCAGTAATTATTACATTTTTCAAAATTAAAACCAAGTTGCTCTAAATATGTCTGCCAGTCAATGGGTTAAAGATATTTCGTTATTTTCTTTCTCTTTTTGGTTATAGATTGATAGAGAAAACAATATATTTGACGATTCATAAGAATGATCTATAATAAATATTATATTAATATGATTTAAACAATCGTTCTTGAATAAGAGAACAATATTGTTTTCTAACAATTTAGAATGCGTGTCTTCTTCTGCGTTTCGGAGCATTTTCTACTTCTTTTTCTTCTTCTTATTTTCTTATTCTTATTCAACCTAGGTAGAATACGTTAGATCGTACAAATTGGCTAGCAAGGATCTTTCTCTAGGTTCCTCCTCCTGTGCTTTTCTCTTTCTCTAACTCAAGTATTGCCAAGAACTGGCACCATAAGTCACAGAGCTACTCGTTCCACCGACAGAGAAAAGAGAGCTGCTTTTCTCTAACACCCGTTCGGGGACGAATTCGCATTATCTTCAATTCAATTTATCCTAATGGACGTTATCCATCCGCAAATTTCTAAAACTTAACTCTTTTGTATTACTTTTTTTTTGGTCTAATTAAACGTTTAAAAAAAAAAAAAAAAAAAAAAAAAAGAAGAAAAATAATTAAAACGTTCTCGTTAATAAGAATTTAATTATAAGTATAACAAAAAAAAAAAAAAAGAAACTCTCCTTTGCAAAAGAGGAAGAAAATTTTAATTTTAATTGACCTCGAAGACGATGTAATTAATATAATAAGAAAGAACAAACAAAAAAATAAGAATACTAATTTGTCTCGGGTGTAAACGCATTAAATATGACTTCACTCATGATCTACGCTACGTTGAAATCTTACCCTTAGTTTCCCACGTGCTTGCAAAAATATATAATAACGAACAGTAATAAAAATGTAATCATACTTAATAGAAAATTAATGGAGTGTAGGGATCTTTAATAGTTAGGGTGGGATAGTACGCTCGGGACATTCTCAAACTGTGCGATTATCGCGAGTATTAAAGTGAATCAACGTCGCTCAGGGCCAAGATGCTGCTAGTCGACTACATGGAGTCTCAGTGTTCCTAATGTTTGTCTGCCGTGACGGTTCACGTTGCTATCCAAGCCCAGGACTTCCTACTACAAGCTCCTTAATGTTACTACACGAACAGGACTAACACTTTGAATAGGGAAACGCGTTTCTACGCGTTGCTTCAACACCAACTGCTGAGTTAACGCACACCTAGTCTTCGAGAATATCGATATAATTTAACATACGGGACACGAGGTACGTTCTAATGGCTAAGGACAAGTCCCCATGTTCCTTTCTCTACCAACCGGTGAACCAACTACTCGCGCAAATGAAGTCACCCAAGACGCCATTGTCCCTTCCTTTTGTAATTTATAATACGAGTTAACACCCTTCTCGGCTAAGAATTTGAATTCGAGAAATGAGCTAACGCAATGTACATATATATATTTCCTTCCCCATCACAGATACTGACTAAAAATTCCTGTTATTTAAGTATAGTGCATTAAAGTATTAATTATAACATATCAATTAATATATATATATATATTAGAATTATAATATATATTAGATAATTATATATTATAATTAATAATTAATATTATTTATATTTAAATATTTTTAAATATTAATATTAATATATATTTACACGTATATATAAATGAATATGTAAATATAATATAATATACTTATACATATTTGTAATAAGAGCATATAGATATATTCGTGTGAACGTTAACTTTGATTTCCTGCCTACCCAAGATTCAAACTTCGATGAGTTCTCTCGATAATTAATTCAACCAATCGAACCGGTTAATTGCTTCGTATCATCCTTCGAATAAATTCATGAATATTAATCAAGTATGATACCTATTTGAATTAACACTTTGGTTAATGGTAGATTTTGTCGTATGGTAGGAGTATATTTTATCCGTTGACTTAAATTATTTCATTCTATTATATTTTATAAATGACGAATATTTGCCTTTACATTGGAACATCGATTAATTAATTTAAAGGTGAAGTATCGATACGATACAATTCTTGTCTTTTCTTTTCTTTTTTCCTTTCTTTTCATTAGCTTCGTCACTGTAACTATTATTATTATTATTATTAAATATTTATCTATAATGTTATTACACTTACTCAGATCTAACTCGATGTATGCTGAATTGATGAAATGTTAATTCTACGATCTCGTCCGGTTGACCAATGAACGTGTAAAGAAGACAATCGATGCTAGGTGGATATCTTCTTGGAAAATAAGGTGTCATAAACGTACCACCCAATGGTCTATCCGTACTGCTATACCTTACACATTTGCAACCTGAAACATAAATAAATTAATCAATATATATTTATCATTTAATAAATGTACTTCAAATGGATTATCATCTTAACACTAGAACTACCAATAGTTGAGACGTAGCTGTCTCTACAAAAACCAATCAAAATAACTGGTCTTTAAAAAGATATAAAAGTAGAATATTTTTATATTTATTAACTTATTATTATTTTACAAAAGGAACTCCATATTCTGAGATCTTAAAAAATATTTAATAATAATAATAATAATAATAATAAGTACAATAATGAAGAATATCAAAATATTTTTAATACCAAATCAAATCAAAGACCAACCAGTCAAAATGACTGGTGTGGTAATTCTAGTGTTAAATAATTATTTGGTTCATTTGTAAATATAATATTTCCAATGTTTGAATAAAAATAAACACGCAAATAAATGTCAACGATATTATAATCTCAAAGAAATTAGTCAAATTCGTTTTGAAATCATTTTTTCATTATAAAATATTGAAATATTACGATAATGTAATTTTACCATTTTTTTGTTTTTTTTGTTTTTGTTTTTGCAGAACACATACTTTTCTTTTCTCTAAACTTTTCTTATTTCCAAAATGAAACCGTCAACCCTTGATATCGATCTCTTAACGGTAACGGTCTCGTGTCAATTTCGAAGAATTAAATTAAAGTTTGAATTTTTCATAAAAAGAATGATCTTTCTTCATCTTTTCTCTATCTTTTTTTCTTTTCTTTTTTTATACCAAAAGAAAAAGAAACAAAGAGAGAGAGAGAGAGAGAGAGAGAGAGAGAGTAAACTTTTAGACAAAATTTTTCCAACGTCATTCTGACGATGCATTACTTAAAAACATTTTTATCTCTAATAGCATATTGAAATAAGAAAATATATAAAATATCCTCCAAGATATGTCTACACAAAATTTATATCATCCAATTGTATTTGAATATTTAATAGTTGTTGTTGTTGTTGTTGTTATTTTAAAATTTGTTAAATTAACAGTATCGAAAGATAAATGATTAAATAAGTCTATGATTTATGGTACCACCGAGCTTGCCACGAAACACACGAGTTCTCATTATCCATCAGCAAACCACAACATGCACGAGGACAAAATTTAATTTCCTGTTTTTCAATTAACTTCTATGGTAGATTGTTTCTCATTCTCTCTCCCTCTCTCCCTCTCTCTCTCTCTCTCTCTCTCTCTCTCATACTTTATCCTTCAGAAAATATAGTGGTCATTCCTAGAATAATGTGAGAATTTAAACCAACTTATATTTTAAATGACGAGTGTTCTTCTACAACTTCAAATAATTTGAATAAAGTAACATTTATTTATTCTTTTCCTTTTTTGGGAGAGTTTTTTTAATTTAAATAGAATTTGTTTATGTTCCTCGCATAATAACGTAATATAAAATATGAAATTACATTAAAATTTGCTATTTATATACATATGAAATATATTTAATATAATAATATAAAATAAATTTATACATTTATAAAATACGTTTAATATAATAATATAAAATGAATTTATATATTTATAAGATATATTTAATATAATAATATAAAATAAATTTACATATTTATAAAATATATTTAATGTAATAATATAAAATAAATTTATATATATATTAATATGATATAATATAATACTGATATATATATATATATATATGAAAATATAATTCTGATTATATTATATATATATTTAATTATTTAAACATATATATAAAATATAAAAAAAGAAAATAAAGTCGGTGATAAAGGAAAAATGGTAACCAACATTTTTATGGGATTTTAATACTGGAACTGGTAGTGGTAAACTTTGATCTACTCTCGTTCCCTTTGACGGATAAATACAAAAGCTTTTTCGATCGAATGAATTGATTGCGACTTGTCCTCTCTTTCTCTCACCCTTTTCGTCCTATCTTTCTACTACCCTTTTTCCCAATCTCTTTCAACCTCTTTACCTCTCTCTCTCTCTCTCTCTCTCTTTTGTTTCTATATACATACTAAACGTAACGTATAAAGTCGTAGAATATGCAAAATGAAATTATAAAATCCTTCGAGAAATCTTTTGCAAATCATGAAAGAAAAAAACAAAGGGGGAACACAACGAATGTCTTTTAACATTAAAAAATCATCGTTGAAATAAAAGATAGAAATTTCATGAATTTATTTATTTATTTTTTTTTTTCATAAAATACTACTGCAGATAAAATTAAATGAATAAGAAATAAAAAAAATATAAAAAATTAAGGGGTAAAGGTGATACTTGAAGAAGACTTTCTTCTTTCCTGCCATCAAGGACCATAGAATGTATTTGAAAGAAAAAGAAATAAAAAATAAAAAAAAAAAAAAGGAAAAAAAAATAAAAAGTAATAGAAGAAGAATAAAACCCGAGAAGAATTAATAATGAACTAATTACTCATTTCAGTAGTAGTGGAAGAAGTAATTGAAAGATCGTTGTGTCTCAATAGGCACCTAGAATTAAACTGACTCTCTCTCTCTCTCTTTTTCTTTCTCATTATATTCGCAATGACCTATATATTGTACTATAATTGCGTTTATTTACTTTTTCATAGTGTATCCTCTCGCACGAGACATTTATTTCACTTTATTCTTATATATGAATGTTTTCTTTTATTTTGTTTTCTCTCTATCTCTCTCTCTCTCTCTCTCTCTCTCTCTCCATTACACAATGTATATGTATATGTATAAACATACTCATTATCTTACACATACGCAGAATCCTTTCTTATACGAATGTTTATATTCTTTTTAATAATACTTGCGTGTAACACTGAATAAAACTTCTTTTTCTATACGAATGTTTCGTTATTTTCTTTCCAATGTGTAATATATATTAAACATTTTTCCAATTGTATATAATAAAAATTAAATACATAAAAATATAAATAAAAATTATATATATATATATATAAAACATTTGCAAAATTAATTTAATTCTGTACGAACTCACATAACTTTCAAATCTCATACCAATAAATTAATATTATATTATTATTATATATTTTATTTTTATTATTTATTCATTTAATTTTCTTACTCCAATATGGGGAACACATATATATATATATATATATAATATTTCATAATTGTTATTTTTGCAATAAACCAAAACACATTCTTTAAATCACTCTGTGTTATTTGTTTTGTATTGTTTGTTTGTTTTTATCATCTCTTAATTCCAAGTAATATAAATTCTTTTGTAATAGCGTAATAAAAAAAAAAAGTCGGTCTGCAAAAGAGTTAATTATCCTGGTTTAGTAACTTTAATATAAATCTTTATATACGTACGTATAAAAATGTATTTGATATTCCTTTAATCTTACTTTAATTATGACAATCAAAATGTTATTTATTTATATACGTAAACACAGATATATAATATTCATTATTGAAGTTGAACAAAAATATTAATTAAATTGCATTTATTTATACGTGAATAAGTTTCTTTTTTTTTTTTTTTTTTCTTTACAAAACATTTTACAGATGATAAGACAGAAACTAGTCTCTTGTGTAAGAAATATTTGTTGACTCATCGAAATTCCATTGATCTTTAAAATGCAAGTAAATGGCTCGACGTATTTATAATAGAAGAGAAATGCTTTAACGATTTCTAATATAGGTCATTGCGTAACGTCATTAAATGCGAGAGCAATAATTTATCTAAAGTAGTATGTATCTCCTAACGGCATTGCTATTCGTCTTTGTCGACAACCAAGACGAAGACGAAAACGAAAACGAAGACGAAGACGAAGACGAAGACGAAGACGAAGACGAAGACGACAGTAGACGAAAACGAGAGGATGAGAGAACCAAGATGAGAGGACATAGATGATGAGAATGAGGAAGAAGAAGAAGAAGAAGAGGAGGAGGAGGAGGAGTAGAAAGAGATGAGAAGGAAGGGAAAGCTGAGGAGAGACGAAGGGAAGATGGGAATAACGCGTTTCGAGACGATTATTCTCGTTGAAGCGATCCATTAGCAGCCACCATTCCTTCCCATTCTGTGTAGTAGAACTAATCCAAACAAAGTAATTTGTAAGGATGCTAACGCAATTAATCAGTTTGATTTAAAAAAAAAAAAAAAAAACCAATAAAAAAAGGGAGAAAGTAATATGAGGAAAAAGTTTGAAGAAAAACAATAACAACGGGGTTGGTGGAAAGAAAAAAGAAAGAAAGAAAGAAAGAAAGAAGAGAAACTCAAACGAAATTGTAAAGAAGAATGTATTATAATAAAAATTAAAACAAAAAAATAAAAAAACAAATTATATAACAGTAATAGATGTTTCATAATGAGATCCTAGAGTACTTAACGTTTCGAATAAATCTTTAACAAAGTAGAGTATAGTAGGAAGTAATTTGTTTCGATCATTTTTACACACGGTGTTACTCGTTTTTGCGATTAATTACCGGACACGATTAAAGGTGGGAAAAAGAAGATGACAAAGAAGAAGTAGTAATAGTACTAGTAGTAGTAGTAGTAGTATGAAAAGAAATGCATTCGATTGGTACAAGAGAAAGACAGAGAAAAAGAGAGAGAGAGAGAGAGAGATACTGTAAATTGTCTCGACTTCTCCACAACACGGTGCGAATTAATAGCTTTCGCGAGTCACAAGTTGGTCTGGGATCTTTAGTAAATTAGCAAAAACAAGGAGTTTCTTCTCTTTTGCTCTTCCTATACAAGCACCACCCTCTCTCCACCCCATCCTCATTCCTCACGTTCCTATCCCTTTTCCCTTTACACTCGGTGCTCGTTGTTTTTCCAGTTAATGCCAAGCCGCAACTACTTTTACTCCCTTCTTCGTTTTCTGTTGCATGCTTTGCTTTACTTTACTTTTCTTTTCTTTTTTTTCTTTTTTTTTTTACTTTCTTTATTTATTTCCCTCCTCGCAGTCATTCGCCTTTATTATCACATCTTTTATCTCTCTTTCTCTTTTTCTCACAATGTTGTCCATCTCTCTTTACATAAAGCTTCGCGGTGCTAGCTAGGACGACACCCTTGTGACCTATATTCGCAAAAATGTACGCTGAAAATTCGTTTTCTCTCTCTCTCTGCATCTCGCTCTCTCTCTCTCTTTCTTTTTTTCTCTCTTTTCTCTTCCGACACTCTCGATTTTTCGCTAAAACCACTTTTATCGCACTCACTTGTTCTCCGAAACTTCTCGTAAATATATTTATTTTTT